AGCGCAATTGAGCAACACGCATTGAGAAAGTGTTTATTAATACTTATTATATTGAGTTGAGATGTTAAAATGGGACTTTCCTAAGTTTATTTATCGGGATGAAAAATCGATACAAGTTCAAGTGGCTACGAGGCCTTTTTGCTAAAAAATATTAAAATAAAGAAGAAACACATTATCACAACGAAAAAATAACATATTTTGCTACTTTTTAAATGTTTTGATCTTTGTTAGTATTATAAGATGAAGAACTATCAAATAAAATTCTAAATCTAAATTGAGGAAAGAAATCATTTGGCATGAATTGATATTTATCCCAAAACATAAAGTAATTTTTAGGCCAAATACATACATAGCTCCTTAAACTTGGTACCAATTTTCACCTAAACACTCTAACTAAGATTTATTCCAATTAGACACTCAAGCTCCAACAAAAATGTGCATATTAAACACATAGCAATGATGTGGCATACTGTGTGACGTACACTTTTCTTGGGCGCGTAAAATGATAAAAGAATCATATTTTTTGCTCCATCCGCTCCACGCATCATCAGCAAAAATCTCACAACCAAAAAAAATCACCATTCACTATTATTTCCATAAAGACACATCACCAGAATAGCACATTCATCTACTTCATTCCTTCATTTCCTTGGTTAGAGAAGCCCAGCTAAACTCATTAAAAGATTTGTCAAATCCAATCATGAACATTGAAGGTAGTAGGGTGGCTGTGGGGCTGTAATTACAGTGGAGTTAGGTGCCAAAAGTGGTGGTCAATTGCGATACATATTATACATGTATATATAAATCATTATCAATAAAAAAAGAAAAGAAAATAGAATAAGAAGTACAACTGAAAACTTTTACCTCTTCTTTCTTTCGTTTGGGTAGAATAAAGAACACATCAACTTCGGATAAATTCAAATAATATTTAACTCACAATATCCAGAAGTAGTGCTTTGACTTCCTGTTAGAGCCATTTTCCAATAGTTTCTCCACCTCCTCGTGGACAACATCGTTGATGGCGGGACTGAACTTACGTCTGACCTGCCTTACCGGAGGGTAGAACGAGCCGATATTTAATTTGTGTGTGGCGATCTACTTAGGGATGCCCATCATATCTGCATGGCTAAAGGCAAACAAATCTGCATTTTCTATTAAGAATTGATTAAATTTACCTGGTTCTCGGAGTTTGCATCCGATGTAAGCCTTTTTGCTACGGTTGCTGGGTCTAATTGAACGGGGTCGAGGTCCTCTACAGTCAAATATGCGGCTTCGGCCATTTCAGAATCCATGATGACATCCTTGGGCTCTTCTTGTGTCGACCTCGACCTTGTTGATTACTATGCCTCTTTTTCCTTTTCTTTTTTCTGTTAGGTTATCGTACTGTCTAAGGCGATGCAGTAACATTTTCGGGATGTGCTATGTTCTCCCAGTATGCTGAATATCCCCCAAGGTGTTGGAAATTTGATTACTTGGTATAAGCTGGAGAGATGTATCAATGGTCGTCCTTCTATGGCATAGTATGCGGTGGCCTGGTCTATGATGTGGAAGATCATCTCCAGCGTTATGTTGTCGGCCAAGATGGGGAGTGTAATTTCTCTCGATGTCCGTTCAACTACATTATTAAAATCGATTAGTGTGATGCAGTGTGGCACTACCTTATCCTCGAGTCTCATCTGGGCGAGGACTCGGGGATGGATAATGCACGCTCCACTTCCATCGTCTACCATGATATGTTTGACATCAGTATCTAAATTACACAAAGTAATGACGAGAGCATCATTATGAGGGAAAGTCAAACAGTCGGCATCTGACTCGTCGAAGATGATACTTTCTTCGAGTCTGTCATACTGTTCGCGGATGATAGATTGTTTGAGTTTGTGGGTGCTAGTGAGTTTAACGCCGTTGATGGAGGCATTATCGCTGTCGCCGATAATCATACTTATAGTACGAGCTAGTGATGGCGGATTCGGCGGGCCTTGATGTTCACGTCCTCTGGCGAAGTTATTTCTCCCCTTGTCGCTCAGCAGCTCTTTGGGGTGTCCATTCCGTAACATGTTTACAACTTCTAGCATGAGGGCGATGCAATCTTCTATTTTGTGTCCGCGCTCCTGGTGGAACTTGCATAGGGCGTCGGATTTTCTGAAGCTTGGATCAGACCTCATCTTTGGCGGCTACTTCACCTTCATTCCGAGTTTCTCCAGGCCATAGACTATATCTGTAGGTGACACACAAAAACTATGAGCAGATAATAAGAGGGGCATAACTCTCTCGTTCCGGTGAGTCTCCGTTCTTAACCTGGATGGGCCTTCTTCATGGCGGAGAAAAAGTGGGGCGGGGCCCCTAACGTATGGCTGGTGTCGTTCCTTGTTGGGTCGTGAGACTGGGTGATCTCTCCTGACGTTATCTATTCATTCCTTCCTAGACTCGACTTGTACCGAGATGAGCCAATGGGTTGGTCCGTTGAGGTCGTCCTTATATGCTTGGACTTCGTCACAGTAAGCATTATGGATCTCGTCTCAGGTGGTTGGAGGGTATTTCATCAATCGGCTCAACAATTTTCTAGTCGCTCTCGATCTATCTCTGCTTAATGCGTTTAGAAAAGTCGCGACTTCCATCCCCCCGGACACGTTTGGTAGGGTCATCCTTACCCTATTGAATCGGGCGAGGAAGTCCCTCAGTCCTTTTCCTAAGGACTGCTTGATGGAGAATATGTCGTTTACTCTTGTCTCGACTTTCCTGGCTTCGGCATGCTCCGTTACGAACTTATCGTCCATTTTCTCAAAAGTTTCTATGGAGCGGGCTGATAGCTGTGAGTACAATGTTAATGCTCCTCCCGTAAGAGTTTAGCCAAATTACTTCAGTAAAATAGAAGAAACTTATTCCTTGGTGAGGTCGTTACCTTTCACGACGGTGACATAATGAGTCATGTGGTCTTAGGGATCAATTGTTCCGTTGTATATTTTGAGATATGGCGGCATTTTGAAAGTCTTTGGTATGGCATGCGAGGCTGGTTCTTCATTGTACGACTGCTCTACGAACCTGCCGGCGTCCCTCTTTGGCAATGGCTTAGGGGCGCATGGTATCTTGTCGACTCATTTTTGGTGTTCTTGCATTTGATCTCTGAGTGCTTTATTTTCATTCTCCATTTCTTCTATCCTCTTTAGAACATCGGGGAAGGCATTGTCACCTACATGTTTAATAACATCGTGAGTTATACCTGGTGTTGGAGGGTCTGGTTGGTCGCCCTGTTCATCTGCTCGTTGTACTGTACATGTTCTTGCAGTTTCTGTAGTCGTGCATGGAGTGTGATTGTTGAGCATTCTTACTAGCCAATGGCGAAGCTAGGAATTTGCTCAAGGGTATTCAAATTTGAAATAAGTGAAAAAAGATCCTGACAAAGAGTGTTCAATATGTGTTATATACCTCTAAAACGTAATATTTTATCTATATACAATGCAATATTTTGACAAAGGGTGGTCAACTGACCACCCTTGTAACCATATGGCTTCGCCACTGTTACTAGCGTATCGATCAGCCATGCTTTGAGGAGATTTTTTACGGCCGGAGGCATCCCTTCTTCTGTAGATGTGGAGGCCCCCTTTCCATTTGGTTTTGTTATACTACAATGGGGGGAGGCGACCTCTTGCGCCTAGGGGAGGCAGTGGGTGCCACGTCCTCATCTAACGTTTCACAGATCTCGTTGATAGCGTTCATGAGATTTCTAGGGAATCCCCTGTTACTTTTGTCCTTTCTCCTTGGTTACCTGCCATGTAGGTTTTTGTACGTGCAAAGAAAGAGAAAGATCTTGGGGTTTGTAAGGTTAGTGACTCACGTTCGCTATAGATCTAAGGAAACTAAAAAATTAACTAAGAAATCCCCACAGCCGGCGCCAAACTCTTTGACCAAAAATATAGATCTTGGTTCAACCAATTAGATTTAAATAAAGAAGAGTTAATCTTAGCTAAAAATAATATCCTAAAGATAAAGCTATCGGTGTTGTGACAAATAAGTAGTATATTTGTCCGAATGGCAACAAATATAAGCAATAACAATAGTATTCAATGATCCAAAGTATGTATATTTAGCTTAAAGTATGTATATTTATATATAAGCCAACTAGTATATTTAGCTTAAAGTATGTATATTTATATGCATATCGCCTCGCATTTTACTCATATTTCATAGATTTCGGATGTGAAATATAATGATTTGTTCTAATTCATGGTATTTTTATATGTAAGAATCATCCGGAGGCAATATGGGACGAATGTGCGAAATTTGAGGCAAAAAGGAGCAAAATGGGAAAATTGCCACAGAGTAGTGCCCAGGCTAGCGTGGGACGCTACCTGTGGTGCAAAAGTCAGAATGTTAAAAAGTCCAGCGCCAGGACTAGCGTCCTACGTTACCCTGGGCGCTGGTGACGGGAAAATTCTCCTAGTTCGCTCGGGACAAGGTTATTTCGGCCCAAGACACCCCATTCTAACGCTTATAAAAGCAAGAATAAGCCTATTTTGAGAGGGGAGACACTACTTTGAAGGAAGAATACACATGAGGAACATCCGAGAGCGAGGATATCTCAGTTTTTTTTATTTTTTCTTAGTATTCTCAATTATTCAACACTTGTGAATTTATTTTGATATTATCATGAGTAGCTAAAACTCCTAGTTCTGGGGTTATGATTTAGCCATGAATATTGTTGTTTAAAGTTGACTTAACCTTGATTACAATTTACTAATATATGGTTGTTTCTTCAATTATGTAATTAATTGCGTGATTGTCTAGTCAACAGTTAAATTATATTTACTATCTATGCTATGCTTGGGAAAGCTACATCTAGATTAGAGAATAATTGAAGAGGGCATGATCTTAACTCTAAGTGGNTGCATTCTTAATAGATTGATTCCATAGGAATATAGGCATTAATCTATTTTAAATAGGCTAGTAATTCGGGAGAATACTACGAGAGAAATTATTTAATTAATTAACAACCATGAGTGAAGTGTATACAAGGGAGAGTTAATTAGAACACAGTAGGATTGGTGAATCGATCACAACCCTGGAATATTCGCCTCTACTGAATACACACCAACTATTTTGATGCTTGATTACTTAGTTACTTGTTAGAATTATTGCTTAGTATAATCACACTTTTGAACTCTGATTGACTCGACTGAATAACAATCTTGGTGAATTTAGTGGGTAGTTAAAATAAGTCCATGTGGGTTCGACACTCGACTTATCATTTTATTACTTGTACGACCACGTATACTTGCGTGTGCGTTTGGGAGCAATAATTTTTTGGCGCCGTTGCCGGGGACTTAAATATTGACTAATTTCTAGATTTTATTTTAGTTGTTTATTTCGTCAAGTCAAACGTTTCTTATTTGTTTCTCTTCTCTCAGGAACTTTGATTGAATGCGAAAGGTCAGAAGCCATGATAAACTTCAAGACTTTGACCCCGAACCTGAGAGAACATTTCACAGGAGGTTGAGGGAAGCAAGGGACACAGATAATCTTCAGGCACTTGTTCAATTACCTGTGAACATGGCAGAGGAGCAACATATGGTTGTGCAGGATGTGGCGATGCCCAGCATTGCTAATGTCACCTCCAACATCGTGAGGCCCAGAATCACTGGTACTTTAAGTTAAAACAGAGAATAATCCAATTACTACAAGCGAATGGGTAGTTTATGGGTCTTTCACACGAGGATTCACAATAACACATCCTGAACTTCTTGGAGATTAGTGATACTTTTATCACTAATGAAGTCACTCTAGACTATGTGAGGCTCACATTATTCCCGTTTTCTCTGTTGGGCGAAGTAAAGCGATGGTTGAAGGCGAAACCAGCTAATTCTATTACATCATGGAATGATCTGGCAAGGAAATATTTGGCACGGTTCTTTCCTCAGGCAAAACTGCAAAGATCAGAAGTGAGATTGTCGCCTTCAAACAGAAATTAGGGGAGTCTCTATATTCAGCTTGGGAGAGATTCAAGGGGCTGCTCAGAGATTGTCCTCAACACAACCAGACAAATGAAGTGTTAGCTCACACTTTGATAGAAAAACTACATCTAGAGACAAAGATTGTGGTGGATGCTGCAGCGGGAGGTCAAGTGTTAGAGAAAAGCTTTGATGAGATATATGCATTATTGAACAAATTCTCCAAAAGCAATCGTGATTAGCAAGGAGAGATAGGCATACACACAGTGCAGAAATCTGCGGGGGTCCTCGAGTTAGATGTTGTCTCTGCATTATCAGCGTAGGTATCCACATTGGCCAACCAAGTCAATAAGATGGCATTGGTTATTAACAAGCAACAAGCTCAGCCAGTGCAACAAGTTCAGATATTTTGTGAAGTATGTGCAGAGGGTCACACGAGCGACTTATGTCCAGCTAATCCAGAGTCTGTCTGTTTTGTGGGTAATACAAATAGGGGTTAGACAAACAAGTATGGAATACTCACAATCCTAACTGAAGGAACCACCCAAACTTCTCTTGGGGTGGAAACCAATATGCTAAGAATCATTACAGGCCACAAGCTCCTCAACATCAATATAGACCACTACAGGCTAAACAACCTACAAACTCGATGAATCACATTGAGGAGATGCTAAAGAAATTGATGGCTGACTAGCAGGCCCAAGCAGTAGTGATGAGAAATTTGGAAAGACAAATGAGGCAACTTGCCAATGCCCAAAACACTCGACCAGTTGGAGCTCTTCCACACGACACTGAGGCTAATCCTAAGGCATCTATTAATAACATGTCATTGATGAATGAGAGACAGTTAGAATACGTGCCATAGAAAAAGAGAAAGTAAGTGACCTTTAATAAGAAACTGGCCACCATAGAAGCAGAATTAGAAAAAGCAAAGGAGTCAGCCAGCTGAAGAGGCGGTGGCTAAGCAACCCCCACCATTAGTTGCGAAGCCACCACATCCGTTCCCTCATAGATTGCACAAAGTAAAGGTTCTTAATATTTTGAAGCAGGTACAAATCAATATTTCGCTGGTAGACGTCCTACAAGTAGTGCCCAAATATACCAAATACATCAAAGACGTAGTGGAAAATAAGAGGAGGTTGGCAGAGTTCGAGACTGTGGCACCCATGAAGAACGTAGCTCAAGAATTCCAAGCATGCTACCTCAGAAATTGAAGGATACGGGTAGTTTCACTATCCAAATCTCGATTGGTAAGCACGCAGTCGGGCGAGCTTTGTGTGATCTTGGGGCGAGCATCAATTTGACGCCGCTATCTATTTTCAGACAGTTGGGGTTGGGTGAGTCGCGCCCAACCACGGTGATTTTACAGTTGGATGATCGCTCTGTTGCTCATCCTGAAGGAGTGATTAAGGATGTGTTAGTTCAAGTGTGTTCTTTCATATTCCCTGCTAATTTCATTATCTTGGACTATGAGCCTGATCATGAAGTCTTATTTATTTTAGGACGTCCATTCTTAGCCACGGGCCGAGCTATTATTGATATACGTGAAAGACAGATGACAATGAGAGTGGGTGATCGAGTGGAGGTATTTAATGTGTATAAAGCACTCAGATTGCCAGTCCACTTTGAAGAGCTATCCATGATTTTTGTGGTAGAAAGCGAGGTGACTTCATTGATGCCTTATATGAGCCTCATAGATCCTTTTGAACGAGTCTTGATGGGGATGAAGAAGACAGTGAAGATGATATGATGAAAAAAATTGAGCTAAGTCCTTAACATATCTTGCAAATATGTCCATGTGCTTGGGAGATTTGAGGAGTTGGACAAACCTGTTGCTCTGACCCCTCCTAAACCATCTATGTAAGAAGCTCCAAAGCTAGAGCTAAGCCTCTTCCAGTGTTTTACGGTGGTGGTGATGATTGAAGAAATTGTTGATTCCGGATTAAAAGAGGCAGGGGAAAGAAATAAGAAGAGTGGGCGAAATTTCCATTGAAGGAGCTCGGTTCAAAATTTCCAGAAAGAAGAAGAGTCGGTTTGTTTGTTTTATTGCTCCAAATTGAGTGATAAGATTTGAATGCATTGGAATCAATTGTGTAATTATGGCCAATATTTTGGCTAATGGAGTCCATCTCATATAAGCATAAGCATCTTTGCAAAGTGTAGACTTTGTTGGCAATATTCTCTGGGACCCAAAAATATTGAATTATGTGGTGGACATCATTTGCACAAGTTGTATCTCTTCTTTTACACCTAAGAGGCCAAGACTTTTTTGCCTATAAAAGGGAAGGCAATTAGTTCATTTTAGACACACCAACAAGACTTGAGTCTTCATTTCTTGTTTCTTCCTTTCTTTCTTTATTAAGAGTGTTTTGTATGAGAGTTAAGTGTTGGGAAGCACTTGTGTGAACCCTTTTTTTGGAGTGATCTTGTGAGGTTATTGTCTTAGGGTATTTGGGATTAATTAGAGTGTTTACTCTAATTTTGTACTCTCTTTTGTACTCTTATTGTTATAGTAAATTGCTCCTCTCCGCTTGTGGACGTAGGTCACTTTGACCGAACCACGTTAAATTTGTGTCTTCTTTATCTACTTTAATTGTCGTTGTTATCAACTTCCATTGTCTTTGTTATTGTCATTATACCGTTGTTTGGCTAAATTCCGCACTACTCGAATTTTCGATCCTAACAAATTGGTATCAGAGCCGGATCTAACCGGATTAGTTTTAATAGCCAAAATAACTCTAACAAAGACCTATGTTGAGAAATTTGACTGAAGTGCAAACTTCAGAATATGGCAATTAAAGATGGAAGTTATCCTAATTCAGGATGGCTTAGACTTGGCGTTGCAAGGAAAAGAGAAGAAACCAGATAAAATGACGGACGAGGAGTTTGCCATCATAGATAAAAAGGCAAAAACATGTATTATTTTAAATCTCTCAAATGAGGTTTTACGTGAAGTTTTTTTAGAAACCACAACTAAAGGCATGTGGGAAAAATTGAAAACCTTATATATGAAGAGGACAGTGGAAAATAGACTTTACTTGTAGTAGAAGCTTTATACAATTCGTATGGGTGAAGGTACCTCTATTCTCTCTCATTTTGACACCTTTGATTCCATTCTTATGGATTTGAGTAATATAGATGCTGAAATTAAAGATGGGGATCAAGCCGTGTTACTGCTTTGTTCTCTACCCCTATCTTTTAAGCATATAAGAGATACTATGCTTTATGCAAAGGATAATATCTCTTATAAGGATATTAAATCTATCTTAAAATCAAAAGAACAGATAGATAGTGATATTACTGGGGAAGCTAATGGAACTCAAGCGGAAGTTGGCTTGTTTGTTAGGGGAAAATACGACTCCATATCCAGATATAATAATTTAGAGTGTCGCTATTGTCACAAGAAATGTCATACTATCTCCGAATGCTATAAGCTGAAAAATAAAGAAAAGCATAAGGAAAGGAAAAATGAGCACAAAAATACTGACACTGCCGAAGAGTGTAGTTGCTTATGAGACTGAGGGAACTATTTTTTTAGCAACTAATAATAGTTTCAAATCTAACAATGAGTGGATTTTAGATTCGGATTGTTCTTATCATATGTGTCACAATCGGTATTTATTTACCACATATGAATCTATTGGAGGTGGAGTTGTCTTGATGGGCAACAATGCCGCCTGCAAAGTTTTTGGAAAAGGTACAGCCCGAATCAAAATGCACGATGGTGTGGTGAGAATTCTCACTGATGTTAGACATGTTCCTGACTTGAAGAAAAATCTCATCTCTTTGGGCACTCTAGAATCTCTTGGGTGCAAGTACACAAGTGAAGGTGGAGTTCTGAAAGTTTCTCATGGTGCTCTTGTGATCATGAAAGCACATAGATCTGATTCGTTGTATATTTTATTGGGATCCACTGTTATAGGCCTTACTACAGTTTCGGTATCAGACAACTTGTCTGATTTTGATGGCATTAAATTTTGACATATGCCCATTGGGACTTTTGTGGAGAAGGTGGAGAAAATTTACTATATCAGCTAAAATTAGGCCAAGGTGGAGATTTATAATTATGGTCAATATTTTGGCTAATGGAGTCCATCTCATATAAGTATAAGTATCTTTGCAAAGTGTAGACTTTGTTGTCAATATTCTTTGGGACCCAAAAATATTGAATTATGTGGTGGACATCATTTGCACAAGTTGTATCTCTTCTTTTACACCTAAGAGGCCAACACTTTTTTGCCTATAAAAGGGAAGGCAATTAGTTCATTTTAGACACACCAACAAGACTTGAGTATTCATTTCTTGTTTCTTCCTTTCTTCCTTTATTAAGAGTGTTTTGTATGAGAGTTAAGTGTTGGGAAGCACTTGTGTGAACCCTTTTTTTGGAGTGATCTTGTGAGGTTATTCTCTTAGGGCATTTGGGATTAATTAGAGTGTTTACTCTAATTTTGTACTCTTTTTTGTACTCTTATTGTTATAGTAAATTGCTCCTCTCCGCTTGTGGACGTAGGCCACTTTGACCGAACCACGTTAAATTTATGTCTTCTTTATCTATTTTAATTGTCGTTGTTATCAACTTTCATTGTCTTTGTTATTGTTATTATACCGTTGTTTGACTAAATTTCGCACTACCCGGATTTCCGATCCTAACAAATTGTAAGGACCTAAATCTGAAGTTTGAGAAGGTTTAAGTTGATTTGGGGTAACCTTAATTCACTTTTCATTGCAAAGCTGCTGCAATACTAAGAACTGATGTTTGAGCTTGAATCACAGTGAGGAAGAAGTCGAATGATATGGGGCGGGTCAAAATCTGGGCGGGTTTATTTAATCCAAAAATGAAAAGCCACGTGTCCCCAATAAAATGATGTCAACACATTAAAAAAAGGATCACATATTATTATGTTAGTTACGGGGGTATTGTTAGACCGAAAGATAACGTTGTGTGTATTTTTGAACCAAAAGGTGAAGAGAGCCAAATTTAAAGCATTTGCCAAACAACACGGGTACTTAACCCTTTTCCGATATTTTTATAAAAAGTCGAACGAATAAAGTTGCACAAATTAGCAAAAATTAAAGTGGTAAACTAAAGTAGAAAATTGAGATTGTTGCTTTATAGAATGTACGTATTAAAATAGAATGATAAATAATCTAATAATGAGAAATAACTTGTTTTCCATCCAAGTTCCAACTAGCAAGGAAGCTTTACTTTAAAGAAAATAAGGATGCAATGTTTGCACTTTAATTTGATATTAAGCAACAAATAAAAAAATGAACAAGGATTTTATTTAACCAAGAGAAATACATTAAGGATCTAAAATAATCACTGCCACACCACATAGAAACAATAGCATGGCCATGAATCTTTCATCTTTCTAATAAGGCTAGTATTTTCTTCCATACAACATAAGAACTGTAATTATTAGAAGCAATTTATATTTTAAAAATTTAGAAAAAAGGAGGGCAAAGCTCCACCCAAAAAAAATGATTTTCTTAAATTATTCACTTGCTAATCTCTGCTTGCACCTTTTCGATAAAGCTAAGCATGGTCTCTAATCCTTTCTCATCTGAAAAAAAGAAGAAGATGGTATTTGTTATTGTTGTTAAACGACATTGGCTACATTAAATGAAGTTAAGCTAATAAATATGTTAGGAGGATTACCAAATCTTGGTATAGTGTGGCCCTTAGGATGATGAATCACCACTGGATCAACATATGATTCCAACAGTTCTATCCCATACTTCTTCAGGTAATCTTGCTCACCTACAATATCAATTAATAGCCTGTTATTATCGTATTCTTCATATATATTTTTTTTCACAATTATTTATTAAAAATAATATATTTTAACATGTTAAAATACGGATAGTTTTCTCAGTATATATTAAACCCAATTTTTCTATATGCTGTTGGCGATAATAATTAACATATTGAAGTTAGGCAACAGAANGAGCTAAATAAGTCAATTAAAAAGAGATCATAACTATTTTATTACAGGGCTAGGGTTGATATCTCCAACTTTTGACTGACATCGGAACTATATTAGTAATAATTCCTTTTTACATACTACCAAGGCATATCCTCTTGGATCCCCTAACAATTCCTCTAACAATAATAACATCGACACAAATGTGATGAAATCAAGGACAGAAATTGACGTGTAATTCTAGACTTAATTTAAAAATTCTAGGACGCATTAATTAGATTAACAAGATACTTTCTCCGTTCACTTTTACTTGTCCACTGTTGACTTTGCATACCCCTTAAAAAATAATAAATAAATTACATAATTTACCATGATACCCATATTAATAGGTGTATAGTCTTAATGGATTTGGAACATGATTTGAAATGAGTAATTAATGCGAAGGGCAAAACAGAAAAATAAATTATTTTTCTCTTAATATGCGAAAGCGGACAAGTAAAATAAAAAAATTATTTTTAAAATAATGGGCAAGTAAAAGTGAACAGCGAGAGTATTAGTTTTTGACCCACAATTAGGAATATTTTAATTACCCATAACATACGATGGTAATTAACTAACTAAAAAATAATTGAAACTAGCAATTTAAATTGTGTTTCATGGTATGCCTTTACAAATACTTAATTTAAATTCATTCTATAAATTTCTTAACAAAGTTGATTTATTGAGCTGCCCCAATTGACGAGAATATATATAGTAGTTGGCTAGTCCTAGTTGAACAAAGAATCAAGTTTGATGAATATAGGCCACGTGTTAACCAAACATTTAA